GTATTTTTGGAGATTAATGATACTACTGTATATATTTCCTAAAATCGGGGATATTTGACCAAGTGATAACCGACTGATGTAGGTGAAAACCTTTTATTTTGTGTTCATCTTGTGTTCCAGAAACAGCAATCTGCAACTGACACCTCAACACTTTAGATTCGATGCCGCTTTAAGTTTTTGTCTTAAAATTTTGACATTTATGATTCATGTCTGTAAATTCTTATTTTCTTTAATATCTGTAAATTATTTCATTTTCGGATTACAATTTATATGCACTACGTATGAAATCTTACTCTTGGTTAAATATCTGAACTTTACCCCTTTTAATTACTTTTATTTTTTACTTTGGTTAAATATCTTACTCTTAAGATCTTTGCCCTGAACTTTTCTAGCAATATTTGCTTGTTCTTTTCTGGTTATGGGCAAATAGAGTAGACTTCTTCAATTATGCAAACTTTTTGCACTTCAGACTTCCGTTCAATTGAAAACAACTTATTAATAAAAATAATAATTATCATTAAATTATAAATTTTAATTAAATTATTTTTGTCAATAATAAATTAAATTATTATTTTTATTGATAGATTAAATTATTATGGCTGAATATTCATATTGTACAAAAAAACTAGCCCAACAATCATTTTACATCTGTTAATATGAGGCATACTTAACATTTTCAAAAAAAAAAAACATTTTGCAGATTAAATTTCCATCCTCTAATTAAAAAAGTCTCATTCTTCCAAAAAAGGCGTTCTTTTTGTATAAAGTAATCATTTTGAATTTTATATTTTTTGATATGAGACTTATTGGATAGTCCATCACTCTCATAAATAATTCGTCTTCTTTATAGATAATTTATTATTTTTCTCTTTAAAGTATAAGACGTGATATTTTTCATTATTCAATCTGGTGAATTTCTCTTTAGGTGTTCACATCCATAGTTCATTCATTCTTATTGTCAGACTAGTATACTTCACTTGAGGTAACAAGAAATTAAAAAAAATTAAGGAATTACTTTAATAATATTTATCTTGAAATTATAATCTTTATGAAAGATGTATCTAATAAAATATATAAAATTATTATGAGAAAGGAGTTTTTTTATTAAACTAAGATGTTTATAAGGTAGTACATGTTGTAAATGCTCTCAATCATTTGATAATAAACGCTAAATCATCCTGTTGCAGTTGCTGGTGTTCGAATCCATGACTTCTAGGAACAACAATGATTACTCTCATCCTGTTCTGCCATTGAAACGCTTCATTGTCTGTTGAAGGATGGAAATTCGTCGGATATGGCATCGCAAAGTCATTGTAGTTCCACGGACTTGACTTGAGTACCAACGTTTTCATGTTCCTCGCTTCGTCTAAATTCAGAAGCTCATTGCCCGAGTTTGATTCTTTTTTGGGGTTTCTCCTGAAATCCCAATTAAAATCCTTCCTGCAACCAGGAAATGATCTCTACCCCCACATTCTTTTCCATTCAGGTCTAAATGCAAGCCACTTGACAATATTAACTGCATCATAGTCTCTCATAAACCCGTCAGGATCCCAAAGGTAACGACCTACATCGAGGAGGGCATAATACGGAACATAGATAGCTGAAGCAATTAATGGATCTTAAGTTAACTACCTGTACTGCTTCATCCTGTTGTAGAAAATGACTTCTAGCAGAAACTGGCTTGTATTAAACCAGTCTGTTATGGAATAAAACTTGTCATCAGGACGAAGAGGGGCACCTAGGCCTAGACTTGATGCACATTCGCACATATCCGAACAGAAACTAAGCGACCGGCAGGTTTCGAGTAAGTCTTGGTTAAATTTCTTGGGAAGATTATATATATACCGTCCTGAACATGGATTTACTCTTGGTTAAATTTCTTGGGAAGATTATGAATATATATATATATATATATCGTCATGAACATGGATCTGATATAGCTCATGCTCTTTTCGGTTCCACAACGTACTTCTCAATCCCTTTCTCCTTGACAGGATCAGATGAATCCACAGGTTTATTCCTGGTTTCTCTTCTTGAATGCCTTGCCCTCTCAGTTTGACTCTAAAAAGTCGGTAATGTTTCAACAGGTTGTACTTCAGCATTGTCTTCCTTTTGTCGTTCCGAAACATTTACTGTCTCCTTTTGTTTTGCCTCGCTTCTTTTCCCTTGATCCTCAGCATTGTCTTCTTTTTGTCGTTCTGAAACATTTGCAGTCTCCTTTTGTTTTGCCTCGTTTCTTTTCCCTTGATCCTCAGCATTGTCTTCTTTTTGTCGTTCTGAAACATTTGCAGTCTCCTTTTGTTTTGCCTCGTTTCTTTTCCCTTGATCCTCATCATTGTCTTCTTTTTGTCGTTCTGAAACAGTTTCAGTCTCCTTTTGTTTTACCTCGTTTCTTTTCCCTTGACCCTCAGCATTGTCTTCTTTTTGTCATTTGGAAACATTTCTTGTACCTTGTCCTTTAGCAGGTCGATGTTCAACATACTCTTCCCTCTGTCGTTCAAAATGATTGGCAGTCTCTTTACGTATGGCTGCACGATCTCCCTTTCTTTTCTCTTGATCCTCGGCATTGTCTTCCCTTTTTCGTTCCGCAACATTTTCCGTCCCTTTCTTTTGTTCGGTCGCATGATTTTCCTTTCCATTGCCTTTCACAGTTCTATTTTCTTCATCCATGTTTTTCACCCCTTTATTGCTTGCAACGTCCCCGTTTTCATCGCCGGAATTTGTCTCGGTCTCGACAGGTTCAGTTTCATTTCGATCTTCAACCATCGACTGAACCACTTGATAAATTTCCTCATCCTCGGACAACTTTTCAACGGGTTCTTCATCTTAACGTCATCTACAGTATTAATATCTCCAACACGAGAAGAATCTTCAGTTTTGTCATCTCTAACAACATCAAGAAAAGACTCGGATGAATCTAGAATAGCCGTATCGTTGTTGAGTGTTAAACTAAATTCCAACTTGCTAAATGTTAAGGACGAAGAATACAAATAAATCAAGTAGAGCGTGAACCATAAAGGGAAAGGGATGAAAACAATGTACCGGTTGGGTTCTGCATCTACATTTTCCACTCGTCGGTTTCTCCATTAACGTTTCACTGCTCGTACTAATAATATGATTAATGCAAAATTTATTTTACTCATAAATGAAAGTACATATATATATATATATATATAGAAATTAATGAGGAGATCGGATTAACAGAATGTAAAAAGGGGCAGAAAAGGGTGAAAGAATCTGGAAAGTCATCAATGAAGGAATTTTGATGCTTTGGGGAAATGAGAGAAAATGGAAAAGGTTTGAATCATTCAAGATTTCTATTTCTATATATATATATATATATGCTTTTGCCAGGAAATATGAAAATTAGTTAGTTTTATTCTCAGTCAGTGTGAACTAAAGGAGATCAACTTCATGGAAAGAAAATTTGATGGCTGATTTTATACCGTTGGATCAAAAGATTTCCGATCGAGACCATTTATCTTATTGGATCATTGATCAAATCTTATGGCGTCGAATATGAATAATGAGATTTCCATAATCATTAGCTACTTCTTGTGGTGATCAATTTAAATATAAGTTCAAGTGGTCAACTTCTACTGTGCTGATCAACATAAATATAAGGTCAACTTTTATGGTTAGTGCCTCTATTATGCAGAAGTTATGGATTTAGTGTACGTATTCTAATTTGATCAATTTTGGTTTATGTATTTTTCAGAAATTAAAATTTTAATGTTGACTCAAATGGTACAGAGATAATGTTGCATGATTTAAATTTATCAAACTTGAGCATCAAAAATAAATTATGCAAATAACATATAATATAAGACTAATGATAAAAAATAATTTCATAGATTTCATAGTTATTGTCTAACTCATAACTGAAATTTTAAATTTTGGAAAGCACAAGGACTAAAGATGACTAAATTAAAGTACAAAGACTAAATCTATAACTTATGCACAATACTAATACCAACCATAGAATGTGTTATTTTAGCTATAGTTTGGGGGTTAACTAGGCATTAATCATTGTTGTTAATATAACACATTATCAATCTAACGGGAGTTAGTAATTGAATGATCAACTTGTGATTTATCGATAATTTTAATGACCAAAATATAACTTTTGAAACTTTAAGGACCAAAATGTAAGTTTTGACCCTTCAATGATCAAAATAAAAAAATATACTTAACCTTTTTAATTATTATTCATATCTATTGATACTAAATTTCTAAAACAACCGTTGGGACTCATAGTGAAAATTTCAAGTTAATTATTTCAGGTGTAGAGGAATTTTACTTCTTAATAAATATTGAACTTATAATTTAAAGGAAAAACGATATGTCAACTAAAATCATCTCTCCTAAATTATTGACCGAATTAATACTTTTGAGATTATATTGTTTGGAGGATCATACATACTTAAGAGGGTTACTTAGACAATATGTTTAAGTGTTGTTTATTAGATACAAATCACATTAATATTTTAAACATAAAATTATTATAATAAATATTTTAAATATAAAATATTTTAAAAATAAATATCATATTACATAGAGTTAATTGTATACATATCCTCAAAGTATAACTCTCATTTTAAATTGATCCCTAAACTTTTCAATATTTCAAATTTATCCCTAAACTATGACTATCATTCTAAACTAGTCCTTAAATTTTTGAACATTTTAATTTCATCCGGAAATTATGACCTTCATTCTAAATTGGTCCTCAAACTTTTTGAACATCCCAATTTCATCACGAACTATACGCATATACTAATCACATCCCTTGTTAATAAAATTGTTAGACCAAGTTATATTATTATATGTTTAAAAAAACAAAATTTAGGTTAAACTATGGTTATTGAATTGCGCCTTCATTAGGTAAATTGAATTTAATGTGGATGCGACAGTTTATGGCAACTTTGGCGAAGCTGGAATAAGAGGAATTCTCTACGACTAGGGGGAGATACTCATTTGATTTGTATAGAAACATCGTAATGTCAGATTCCTTAAGTACTGAGACGATTGCCATACTTGAAGCATGCCAATTATTCTCCTCTTCCATGTGGAATGAGAATGGCATCTTAGTAATTGAATCAGACTACCTTAAAGCGGTAAATTGGATCAAGAACCCCAGTAGCGCACCAAAGCCTTTTGAAGGTTTAGTTGGTAAATGTAGGGTGAGTTGTTTAAGTCATTCCTGGAAGGTTTCTTTTGCCCATAGAGAGAGAAATATAGAAGCACGTGACCTAGCTATAAACAGGTATTGCAAAGCCGGGTGTTGCATAAGAATTTTGAGAGTTTGTCTATTTAATGTATACTGCCTCGTATTAGTGATTAATCAATAATTGAAGGAAAGGTCCGGTTGATTAGCTAATAATGATCAGTGTCAATGGCTTGCTCCTACTGTCCTACATGAGGCTTTAGAAGCTTTGGATGGATGGCAAAGATTTTTCTTCCCAAATTGTTGTTTGACCTTGGAGTTGCAGTAAATTCAGATGCTCGAAATGTGCTAGTACCCTTGCATCGAGCTATGAGAGCTAGTGCATTGAGTAGTTTTATAGAAAGATGTGCAGTTTAAGGTGTTGTGAAAATTTGGGGATACATAATTGATAGTGAATGTCGAAGGAAGATCTCTAGAACGGGTTGAGTGATTGACCATTGGCTCTTAGTAATTTAATCTCATTGAGGGGCTCACTGATATGGAATTTTTGTGCTTGTGTTTGTGAACTAGCCTTACTGCAAAATCTTATATGTTGTTAGAGTTCGCGCTTATAACTTCCAGCTGGGCACAACTCTTAATCTTATTTGATTCATTGTGGCTTATGTCAGGACATTATTTTTCCTCCATTTAAATTTAGGAAGTTTTTTTAACGAGGTCCCGCTCACGGCTGTGGTCATTGTGAGGGTTGAGGATGATAATAAAATAATCTTGTTCCTTTCAAAAAAAAAGGTTAAACTATGATTGAAACTAATTACATGTTTGGATGAATTTGAGGATAAAATTGGATTATTCAAAAGTTTGGGCACCAATTTAGAAAGAGGATCATAGTTTAGGGATGGAATTAGAATGTTCAAAAGTTTAAGGACTAATTTAGAATGAGAGTCAATAGTTTGGGGATCAAATTGGAATATTTTAAAGTTGAAGGACTGATTTAAAATGATTGTTATAGTTTGGAGACATATGGTACAATTAACTAATAAATATCTAATCAAACTATTAATACCAAATGAGACATTATCTCGTAAATAAGTTATACGGACTTAACAATTAATGCGAAACCAAGCAAGGATTGGAGTCAAACACCATACACTTGTTTATTACGTTTGATTTGTTTCTGTGGAGTGTTTTTGTTTTAAATATGTTGTCAACTTCCATGGAATTAAATCCTAAAAAATCTTGGTCCCGACACGTGTCGAACATGCATGGGATGATTTCATAACCACAAACAAAGACAGTTCATAAAACATCCCGTTTCATCACAGTCATCAAAGACATTTTATATATTTGTATCATGTAAATCAAAATTATATAGTAATTTTTTAAAAAGTAGATTTAAATATTTAATTAATTAAAAAAACTAAGTAACAAATCAAATTCTAAAACTAAATTTATATTTAAATTAAATTCATATATTAACCTTAAATTATATTGAGATCAGAAGGGAAGAGATAGAGTCCGTGTAGTTTTAGAATTCTAAGGAAGAAAAAGAGAGGCGATTCATTCAAATTCCAAAAGAAAAAACAACATTAATGTATCTACACATTGGGAAGTCCCGTTATGTTTGTTTGCTTTCGCTTTGTCTTTGTCTTTAACTAAAAACCAAACACAAGTATCCCAAAATAGTGAAAAACAAAATCCCCCGTATGTGTTTATGTTTTGAAGTGGGCAAACGAGAGAAAAAAAGTTTTCTTTTGTTCTCGGGGTGTGTTCTTGATTGTGATGGATTCTAGTATAGAAATCAAGGTGACAAATCCAAAGAAAGTAGACAATGTGGTGCATCCCGCAGCAGCATCGTCGTCACCACAGTCATCCGTGTCATCTCCGTCGCGTGATGGGCGGGGGAAGGGGCCGCAACTGGAGGAGGAGCGGAGTCAAAACAACCGGCGAGGACAGCAAGGACGACGGTTGGTGAATGTCACGCCGTTTAAAAATTGGGTGTCTTGGCTTATTCCGGCCTTTGTTTTGGCCAACGTAGTCATTTTTCTAATCTCCATGTTTATCAACAATTGCCCCAAGAATTCGACATCTTGTGTAGCTGGGTTCTTGGGAAGGTTCTCGTTTCAGCCGATGAAAGAGAACCCTCTCCTTGGCCCTTCTGCTGCTACGTAAGTTTCTCTCTCAAACCAAAAATATATGCTTGATAGGAAATCTTTGTAAATTCTTTTTCATTTACTCTGCTGAAATGAGCATTGATTTAGCCTCTAGAGAATGGTTTTGGGGGAATTTAAGACAATAATAAGTACACAATTTGAATTATTGGAACTGTCTTAATCTGTCTGTCAATTCTAAAATAGGTAGAGCTGGACTTATATAGATTAATATATGAAATCTATGGTCAGTCATGATACATTATAATTTTACTTTTAGAAAGAAATTTATGATTAGTTTTTACAGTTTTCTGCTTTAGATATGGTCTTGAGAGACTATATAATAGATAAAAAAAATTCAGGATGATCTCTTTGAAGTATTTGAGTATCTATATGTAGGCTACTATAACTAGGAACATATATTTCTATGGTAATTTTAGGGTTGCTAATACAAGTTCATTGTTGACTTGTCCTATATTATGCTTTTCCCCCACTGTTTTCCTTGTTCAGATTAGAGGTAATGGGTGCCCTGGACGTAATCAAAATTGTTCATGAGCATCAGGCATGGCGTATGGTTTCTTGTATATGGTTGCATGCTGGCGTTTTTCACATACTTGCCAATATGTTGAGTCTTGTATTTATTGGAGTTCGGCTCGAGCAGGAATTTGGTTTCGGTATGCATCTTATTCCCAAATGTAAACTTTGTCTTGTTGATGACATTTTCTGAATCGTTCCCTAACATGATGTAGCAGTTATGATTTCAATTCAACGATGCTAATAATCTTTGTAATTTGCAAAATCGAGATGTGTCTTCCATATGTTTCGATTACTATCATCTTTCCTAGATCTCACACTAAACTGGTCATATTCCAATTCATTTTCCTTATATCTGCATATGCCAGAATTAGTTTTTAAAATTGTAACATTGTATAAAATTGTTGAGTGGTTGAAAGAACATTCTCCACTTTGTTGTTGAATGTCACATCCCGAGCTAGTGGTTAAATATGTGCTTCACATGAGTTTGGTCTTTGAGATGCTCGGCCGAGAACTATTGATCGCAGTTTCGGGGTGCTTGATTTAAGCCCAGTAGCTAAAAACATGCTTGAGAGTTTAGAGATAGCCCTTTCTCAATGCTTTTTTACCTTTGGAAGGAATATGTGATACCTTCTTTCCAAGTGTCCTTTCCTTTTTTTCTCCCCGAAATCAACATTGTTCTAGGATAATTGGCAGAGAATGATGGGGAAGCTCCGAACTTGCTTTCGGAAATGCTTCCAATTTAACTACCGAATAGTTACTTTTCTAGTTGAATGATATTTAATCCTAATTTCTCTTTGGTATTTTTCTGCAGTGAGAATCGGACTGCTTTATCTAATTGCTGGTTTTGGTGGGAGTTTGATGTCATCTCTTTTCATTCAAACCGGCATATCCGTTGGTGCATCGGGTGCCCTTTTTGGTTTACTAGGTAGCATGCTTTCGGAACTCATCACAAACTGGACAATCTATGCAAACAAGGTTCCCACTGTTATTTCATTCTTCTGAATCTGTTACACTGGAGAGACAATTTTCTCACAGTTTCGGTCTTCTATATGCAGTTAGCAGCGCTGTTGACTCTTATTTTCATCATTGTAATAAATCTAGCAATGGGAGTCCTCCCACACGTGGATAACTTCGCTCATATCGGGGGATTTCTTTCCGGTTTTCTCCTCGGATTTGTATTTCTAATCCGTCCCCAGTTTGGATATGTTAGCAAGAAACATGTGCCTCCAGGATACATTGTAGCTTCTAGTAAACCTAAACACAAGCCGTACCAGTATGTCCTCTGGCTTGTCTCTCTGATGCTATTGATTGTCGGGTAAGTAAGTGAAATCCTTTCCCTGAATTCAACTTTGTACATAAAATACAAGTTTCATTATCACTTCTTTTTGCAGATTCACAGGTGGCATCATCCTGCTCCTTCAAGGGGTTAATGTGAATGATCACTGTTCTTGGTGTCATTATCTGAGTTGCGTCCCGACCGCATTGTGGAGCTGCAGATCACAACAGCAAGTGTATTGTGAGGTGAGTTTTGCTGTTCCCTTGTTTACGTACGTCTTTAGTTTCTTAGTTACTGCTCATTCTCGACCGGATTACAGCAACGCCAATATCGGTATATTTCTTAGTTTCATAGTTTCCGAAACATTATTAATGCCCTTAGGCCTTAAGGTACTCGCTATTAATTTCTTTATAAGTAACATGCATGTGATGGGGCTGATGGCTCAATGAATTCTAAAACGACGAATTTCGAGGCATCACGCAGCTCATTGGCTCGTAGTTTAACCTACATTTCTCTTTTCATAACGGTAGTTGCTTGCCATCTAAGATTAACTAATATTCTCTTGTTCATTATAAATGTCTATAAAAATACAGAAGTAATATCTTCCACGGTTCAATGTTCATCGTTTGTGAACTGTAAATCACCAGTTGGAAAACACAGTTTTATCGATCTATTTCCTGATTTTATTGCAGTCAGTCAAATACGGGAATCAACTGAACTTAACATGTATAAGCAATGGGAAAAGCGGCAGCTACTCTTTATCGGGTGAAAGCACTTCCCAGATTCAACAGCTATGTTCTAAGCTCTGTAGTTGATGATGGATGCACAAGCATGTATAGGAGAAGATTTATATGTAGAGAACTGTTTAAAAAATTATCCTAGTCGTTGATCTTGAATACATTACATGTTCATTTTTAATATACTAGTCGAAAATATGTCCGATGAAAAGTGTCTTCATTTTTCTTCAAATACTCGTTAATCACATCATTAATCGATACGTTTGACAAAGGGAAGGCACTAGCTCTGATGATCCCGTGCATGCTAGCTTCAGGAAACACTTATCAGCTCGGTTCTACTTCTTCAAGCAACAGTGTGTGTTTTGACAGAGTATTTATGACATCATTAGTTGTTTTGGGACACAACCAGATCAAAGACAACATGTGTTTAAGTTGTCGGAAACATAATAAATGTGTATAAAGATTTAATAATCAAATTCGCAATACAAGAAACATAACCAAGTAATGGCATGTTGGACTTTTTCTTTTATCTTTTTTTCTGTGTGATCCAATATGGGGTTCAATAAGTAATTTGCACATTATCAGAAACTAAAGGTGGGGAATGGTGGTGAAAATTAGAGAAAAGAGATGATGCATCAAAAGGGTGGGCGAAACCAAACACCCAACACCAACGGCTTCCCAGTTCCTTCATCCTACGTGACAAAATGCATGTGATGATGTGAAATATATTGTATAGCCCCCCTTCTTCCAATGCCCTTTTCAAATAAATACTCCGTGTGGTCCTACATACACTATTTACAAAGAATACTATTGGTAAAGATAAGCATGAATCTTCCTAATCTCTAACCCAAACCGTATCCACACAACAAGAACGCTTCCTCAGCCATGTACCTGTCAAATGAATGTTGAATATACGTAGGAAAAATCAAAGGTTTCAATGTGGAAATTGGAAAGCAAAGTCAGGTAAAGCGGCAGCATATAATATGTATCCTGGACTCCCACCTATAAATAAATAAATTCATGGCGTTGGTTAATAGGTTAGGTTGGACCCATATGACATCAACACATTCAACTAAATTTCTTCCTCCACCCTATCTCATATTTATTTTTACAGGTCAATTTTGTTGATTTCCCACTCAATATCAAGAGCCAACGTCTCACCCTTCTGTTCCTCTTCTTCTTCTCACCCTAATTATTTTTTAACTAATAACAATAGTTCTAACAAAAAACAACTAATAATGATAGATATATTTGTTAAGTAAAAATAAATACTATAAAATTACGAGATGAATCTGTAAATAATAGAGTCATGAATTAGAGTAATTTATTATATTAACCTATTATTTTACGTAAAATCGTTAACGTGCACAAACTAATTAATAAAAATAAGATACGATTATATAAGAGAAGCTAAAAATTTAATTAAACAACTATAAAAAATGATAAATATAAAAAAATAATGATGTCAGCAAAAATTACATAATGTAAATATTTTTTAATAATTGGAGGGCCTTTTAACCCTATTATTTGAATTCTAAGCAATTAAACAATCAAATTTTAAGGGGAGTTTTTTTTTGAATAGAAGTATCTAATATTAAAAAAGTGAAATTATTTGAAATTATAATAAAAGTTTACGACTATCATCGTAAACTAAATACATAATTTGAACTTTTCTTATAACATTGAAACTAGCAACTTTAGATTATATAAGGATCCTACATAGAAAATGTTAAAAACTCAATCAAGAGACTTGAACAAAAATATATACGAATAAATCTGATTGCATCGGCAAACGAACCACAAAAGGGAATTAAGCTATTAAAAGACCATCAAGAACTGCAAATCAGAACCGAACGTCGTGAGAAACTATCCACAAACGCAAAATCAAGCATCCAAATTCAATCCAAAGGTCCATAACAGGGAAGATCAACAAGATTTCGAATAAGCGTCATCTTGATCAGTCGTGGCGTCGTCAAAGTCAACCTTGAGAAAAGGTAAATAAAAGAATGGAAAAATAACCGAGAAAAAAATCAAAAAATATGTCATAAAGACAGAGATAAACGTGTCACAAAGACAAAGATAAGCGTGCAACATATACAGACATAAACGTGCAACATAGACAGACATAAACGTGCAACACATGTAAAATTAATCTTATTAAAAAAATAAAAAAAATAAAGAGAAAAGAGAATCGACGGTCGGTAACAAACATTAAAATTAATGTCCCCGTCAGCTAAAGAAAAACAAAGGAAAAAAGTTGACATAATCTATAAAAAACGATACAAATTCAAAGAAGAAGAAAAAAAAAAGAAAACAAAGGAGAGAGCGGCTTAAGGGGAGCTTTTTAACATTTTTATTATTATTTAATCAAATTTTAGATTTTATGTAGTCACAAAACTACTTAAGTTTTTAAATCACACTAATGATTTAAAATTATTGAGAAATCTTTTAGTTTGGTTAATCGGAATTTTAATAATAAAAAATATTATATTTTGAGAGTATTTGTAAATAATTTTAAATTTAAATTTTTACTTTTCTTTTCTTAAGAGGCTTCGATAATAATTAATGTATTTTTCTCTAATAAAGAGGAAATAACATATAACTTTATATTAGGAATGACTAATTTGAACTCGTAAAATTTTAAATAGGTGAACTTGACCTTATAAAATTTTAAAAGAGACAAAAATATATTTTTAATAAAAAAAATACATAAAAAAATTTAAAATATATGATAATTTTATATTTTTAAGTGAGTGAATACCACATCCGTCCCGCTTAGATCTATCCCCGTCGATAGATTTATATGAAGAGTCATGCTTGTATCAATTAAACTTTATCTCACTCTTGATGAGACTCGATCTTTCATTTTTTAAGCTGACCCATGCCCGTATCATGATATTACCACTTTTCATAAGAGACGTGTTAAAGTCCAATGATAAATGATCAAGTTCCACTAAAAAGTGAATATATAATCATTTTTTTATTAAGTCTCCCTGATTTTCATCGAATTTAATAAGTAAAGTTTATATTAGAAGCGATAAAAAATTATTATTCAATTAAAATTTCTATATAATCATTTTTAGAATTTAATATTCATTATTAAAAAAATTAAGTTATAAAATGAAAGATCTCTTAATCGAAATGTTTTAAAGAAAAAATAATTAATAAGAATAGAATCAACTTATCTCAATAATTTTAAGTTATTCTTAATAGAATTTAGATTTTATTCATTCTCGTAGTTTATTATCGCTGACTTCCGTATATCATTCTCTTCATGTTCTCTCTTTTTAAATTTAGTCAGGACTTACGTTTCTGTCTATATGCAGAGATTTTTATGCAATGATTTACGTGCAGAGATTACTTTCCAGCGCGCATATGAAGACTATTCAACTATGTATTTATTGATTTATTTATACATGCATTGTATTTTATCTTTATTTTTAATTTTCTGACTGTCGGAGGTCTTCCACGGAAGTTGCTCTCAACCTGACGTTGGGGACAACCTACTACCCTACCTCCCTACCTCCCCTTACCCCATTACATATTGAGAATAAGATTTTATTGTTATTGTTGTTATTCTTAAAAGTCACAATTTCAAATATTAACAATGGTAATAGAATGATTATTCTCATCATCAAACGGTGAGAGTTTAGCTTAATAAAAAAATCAACAAGTGATTGGCGGATTGAGTATAGGTTATCGCATGGGTAAACACACCTAATTAATAAATGTAAATTGAACAAAATATTGTTGAAATTCGGTCGTACTTCACTCTACCTCATGTTATCCAAATCCTTTTGTCGTGTTTTTTATTCTCAAATCACAGCCGTTGATCGCGCTACTTCCTTTTGGAATTTTTGGATATTATCATTAAATAAAACGCACTATCAAATCGTTAAAATAAAATAAAATTCACTAATTCATCTGAAAATATATCTTCTAGAGTAACAAATTACCAGCTTAAACTATCTATAATCCCTTATTTTTAAATTAAAATAAATTATATTTAAATATATTCTATCTAAAGACTTTGATATTAATATTTATTGGTATTATAATAACATATGAAAACGAAATTAATGTTGAATAAATTTTACCAAATAATGGGCCTCTCTATCTTACCCCCTCCCCCCTTAAGGGGTAGACCCATGTATTTAAGTACCCCTCCCTCCCTGCCCTTTCCCCTTAACTCTTACCAGAAAAAAAAAGAGTTGAAGAAAGGCAAAGAAATGAATAGTGTGAGCGTGGTATGCATTATTGTGGGTTTGATATCCTCAATGTGGATGGGTGAAGCAAGAATTCCAGGCGTTTACTCCGGTGGTGCATGGCAAAATGCTCATGCTACCTTCTATGGCGGCTCTGATGCCTCTGGCACCATGGGTATCTTCTTTGGCTGAAAATTTCCGTCTTTTAAAAAAGGCGGAGCTTGCATTTATGGCTGAAATGAATAAGACCCAAAACTCTCATTTCACGTTTCCAACTAATTATTTGGTTGTAATAATGATTTGCAGGAGGAGCTTGTGGGTATGGAAACTTGTACAGCCAAGGGTACGGAGTGAACACGGCAGCGCTGAGCACAGCATTGTTCAACAATGGATTAAGCTGCGGTGCTTGCTTTGAGATAAAATGTGCAACTGATCCAAAGTGGTGCCATTCAGGAAGCCCTTCCATCTTCATCACAGCTACCAACTTCTGCCCACCAAATTACGCTCTCCCAAACGACAATGGCGGCTGGTGCAACCCTCCTCGCCCTCACTTTGACCTCGCCATGCCTATGTTCCTTAAGATTGCCGAGTACCGTGCCGGAATTGTCCCCGTTTCTTACCGCCGGTATTTTCTCTCTTCCCTTTCCCCCCTTGATGCTTGCTGTTAAGGCTAGACAATAAAAATAGATTAATTAAGTTGGAAAAATTGATTATTAAATGCTCAAAGACATTTATACTAATTTTTTTGCCATTAAATCAGAGATGACACTAGGCTAAAAAGCTGTTTTTTTAATTCAGAATGATTAAGTGCTGAATGATTCAAATGTTGAATAATTCAAAGGTCCTGTATGAATTAGCTTGAATGTAACATGTTGTTTGATAATGACTATAAATCATTCAGAATGTACTTCTGTGTTGAATCATTCAGCACTGTTTTGCTGAATCAATCAGCACTGTTTTGCTGAATCAATCAGCACTGAATTATTCAGAGATGTAAAACAAACACACTAAATATTAAACTGTTCAATATTTAACGCTGAATAATTCTATTAAAAGACAAACAAACATTTCTAAGGTTCTTTTTTTCCAACCATAAAATTAATAAATAAATGGATTACGGTCGTCTTGTTGACCGATGTCTGTTTGACACTTATTACTCTTCGTTTTATGCTAACAGTGTTCTTTTCAATTTTATCTAATAAACTACGTAGGGTGCCATGCCGGAAGAGAGGGGGAGTCAGGTTCACGATTAACGGTTTCCGTTACTTCAACTTGGTTTTGATCTCCAACGTTGCGGGTGCAGGAGATATCGTGAAGGTTAGCGTAAAAGGATCAAGGACCGGTTGGATGAGCATGAGCCGAAAATGGGGTCAGAACTGGCAATCAAACGCCGTTCTGGTTGGTCAGCCACTCTCGTTCACAGTCACAGGCAGTGATAGGCGCACTTCCACATCCTGGAACATCGTTCCCGCCCATTGGCAGTTTGGTCAAACATTCATCGGCAAGAATTTCAGAGTTTGATTCATTTGTTCTTTTTATGATCTGGAGGAAGGACCAATCTGCAGAAGAAAAATAAGTTAATAACCCCATAAAGAAAGTTAAAATGTTTAGCGGTTTAAAAAAGAGACTTCCCAGCTGTAATCCATTTTCATTTTTACCCTTTTGTGGTTCCGACTTTTAACCATTATGGGCACTCTTTTAGTGGTAAAGAGAAAAAGGGCAAATATGTAAGGGAAAAAGATTGACGTGGCTACATTGCCAAATGCCAAGTATACTATAATAACTTTTTATATAGTTGAGCTGAAATATATATTTGATTTGCTCCCCATGTTGATTATTATTTGATTTTTTTATATAATGTTAAAGTTATTTATAGTTATTAATTAATAACTTAGATAAATATTCATTTTTATTTTTTTATTAAATATTTATAATTTAAAATGTAAATAAATTAAATATAGTGATTCACTATGAGTACGATGGTACGGTATATTATGAAATTTCCTGTTAGTTTCTAAAAGCAAATCGCGGAATATTACTTTTGGTCAATCAAGTTTTAATGAAAAGAAAGAGAGAGGGTAGATAGGTGCAATCCTTTTCTCTTTCTATCCCTTTTTATGATTGAATATTTAAAATCCGATTTCATTGGAATCTTAGCCTGAATAGATATCGAAATTTCAACCAATTATTCGTTCCATTAAAAGTTCGTCGTGTACCCATGAATGAAATGAAAACAAAGATATATCTTTAGACTTATTAAAACAAGAAGAAAAGGATGGGGGGATCCTTTATTTCTTTCTGGTGTAAGGGAAAGTTGCAAGAAATTAATTTATGTATCTCTTCAAGTGATGATATATTGCCAATAATTCCATAGAGGTCACATCAGTCGAGGGTCGAATGCATTTACTGAATTTGGTCGTATCAAAACTTGAATCATGGGGTGTGGGCCTATTTCACATATTCCCCCTAATGGGGTTGGTTTTTATTTATTTTGAACTTTTGATAACGTTTAATGTGATAATAATAATAATATGAATATTCTAAATATATTTTTATAATATAAAAAAATCCGCTCTCTTTCTCCACTGTTTGATGGCTTTTGAGAGAAAAATATACCTTGGACTCTCGTCTTTTTTTTTAACCTACAAAAACTAACAAGGCTGGGGCTTTGGATTCCTTGATCCTGTTTTAGGTTTGAATGTGGGCTACCTTGGTTAAAATTTTCAGTGACCATCCTTCCTCTAACTATTTGTGGTAGCATGGTTCTTGAACCAAAGATGAAGACATTTATCAACTAACGGCTGGTTGGGTTTGGAACGACTAAATTATTAATCAGAAAAAGATTTAGTAACCAACAACTAGGACGAAACACTAGACGTCTAGACCCCTTAAGTAAGATCAGAAGTTTGAATCTTGAAATTTGTGAATGAAATAAAGTGGGTTGAGAGCGTTGCCTCATAATGGACCTTTACAAAATTTGATTTGAAATAGTTATCAATAGATAAAAATCGTTGATTTAGTAAAAAAAATAGTATTATAATTCTATCAATTTCAAGATTGCCTATCTTTCTTTTATAAGATATCATAACATGACTAACTCGATGGGCCATGGGTTATTAATTTTCATATAAAAATCAGACTAGTCTGCTAATTTCAAAGCCCAACACAAGGAATGTAAAAAGCATAAATTTGTCAAAACCTCCACTATCCAATAACTTAAGAGCTCAATCTCATTTTGATTTTGGTAGAAATCTATCTATATTGTTCAACATAAGTGAATCAAGTTTCTAACTAAAAGTTGCATCTATGCAAATTAAGGAAAAATTACAGCATAAACATATAAGAATCTGTAGATGAAGAAATTGCCAAGTTGTTTAGTGTTTCTTACGTTTAAATTGTTTCCACTTATTCAGCAACTGCTCCACTCCCTCTTTCAATGTTGCCTCCCTCCCTTCTTTGAAATTCCACAGTTGGGGTACTATGTACCTTCCACTTGGGTTGTACTCATTAATCTCTGCAAGGGCTGCTGTAACAGCACTGTATATTTCATCTCCATCCTCACTCTTGATGGCTTTCAATTGCTCATCTTCCTCGTCAAGTAATTCCTGCAAATATCACATTTTTTTAAAGTAAAGAAACCCTGATGTTTATTTGAACTAGAAGAAGCATAAAGGAAGTTGATAAGTTAAATAATAGAGAACTGGAACTGGCACAAAAGAGCCTATGTTACAACTTGAATGAACAAGAGAAATGAAAATTTGAAGTATCAGAATTGTTTACCAACAGAAGATTTGGGTTGATATGTATAGGTAAAATACCTTGGAATTCCCATCCTTGTCCGTGAGTATCTTAAAAGGGTGCCAATTAGAATCTCGAAGGTAGTCCTGCAACTGCGAACAGCGCTCTGCTGCTTTCAGATTAGCTTCTACCCCTGAGTATTTTCTTTTGGCTGCAATCCGGAAGGGTTTGATGTCCAACTCTCCCATTCTCTTGACACCAACAGAAGCACGAGTATTGGTGGATATATCTTTCAAACCCTGAAACAAAGAAATATCAAGTTTATTAGAAGCAATCAAGATACCAGCCCAACACCTCAACAGAGAAGTAATATATTATACACAACTTACCAGGCATGAAAGACAATAAAATAAAAAATTGTGATACATGATGTAACGTATACGGTATACTTACGGCGATTAATTCCTTTCGAGCATCCAGTAATTCATCGTTTTTCTGGCGTTCGCTGACAACAAGAACTTGATAAAGCTCCTCCACACTGCTCCACTCTTCTTCCTTCTCTCTTAATTCCTCTTGAATTGCCTCCATCTTTTGCTTCATTTCCCCATCCCCTTCCATATGCTGCATCACTTCTATTTGCCCTTTCATGCTCTGTATCTCCAGCTCCAAAGCTTGTTTAGCATCAAGTTGCTTCTCAAGCTCAATGATTTTTCTATGAAGTTTCTCCTTTTCACTCTGACATAGGAAGTGAATAAAAGTAGGTGAAAAGTTGGAAAAGTTAACCCATATTTTCAATAGTATTCACTATGAGGACTGGAAACATGCCTTCTGCTCTTCTGCCAATCTTAAGATTCTTTCATCGGCCTTCGTTTGCTCCAAGGTTGCCTTCTCATGCTACAGAGGGAAGAGGGTGAATCAAAATATTGTACAAATATTTTACTATTGCAAATGATAAAAAGGAACAAAAGGTGGAACTTTTGTAGTTAAACATGAAGTCAGCTCAATTTTAACGAGTAAAGGTTAGCTAAAGATGGTGATGAGATTTGTTTTAGGAAGAAAAAAATAACCCAAAGGCCAAAGCAGTATTCTTCACCATAATCTTTTCATGCTGAAGTTTTCTTGTCTCAGCCTCATTTTGAATCTCTCGATCGAACAACTCCTTCTCACGCTGCTCTAGTTCTGTTTTCTGGTCAGAAAACTGCCGGGCCATCCTCTCATGCTCCAAGGAAATCTTCTTAAAATGGTCATGAGCATTCTGTTGCATCCTTCTTGACTCTGCATATTACATACCATTATCCATGAGAAACTAGCTATAATGAATTTAAATCATTTTAGAAGCTAAGATTACAGCATACCTTCATTGTAAGCTTTGATCATCTCATCCTTCTCATCCATCAATGCCCAAAAGGACATTTTTACCTTAGTATACTTTTTCTCCATTTCCTTAAGCCGTTGGTTCTTGGTCTCCAAGGTGTTGGTTAACGTTGTCACCAATGTTGAGTCCTTCCTGTGATCTTCGGCTTCTTTGTCCGAAACAGTCTTCAGGTCCCCATTGTTTTTAAGATATTCGCCAACTAATCCTTTTGAATAGTAGTCATCATCACGAGCAACCCAACCATACAACTTATCTCTTTCCATCCTAGGTGAAAAATAATCCTTCTTCCCACACTGTTCTTGCTCAAAGCTCTTGTCAAACATGAAGGCATTATTAAATCCATCCCACCCTTTCTTGAATTCCACAATGGCAAACCCAGAATGGCCGTGTCGGTTCCAAAGAGGATGAACCCTCGATGGATTAAATCCCTTTTCTGTCAAATCGTCACGCAACCTGCTTCCACTTCCACCCACTTTCCTACCATTTTGTATTGTCGTTGGTATATTGGCAATGATTCCCATCCATGGATAAACAAACACGTCGTCATCTTTCTTTTGAAGGTTAGACATCTGATCATCAACAAACAACAAATAGGCATTTTTAAGTTTGCAAAAACCTAGTTGACTCATGCTGATATTATACACGATATTGTCACTAAATTCTTAGCAATAAAAAAAAGTCTGTAGAAATAGAGAATGCTAGTTTAATGATAGAAAACCTTAACGGATTTCAAGAAGCTAGGCAACAGGAGGAGGTGAAAAGTTTCTTCGTTTTTAAATCAAAACATTTTTAGACGTCTGTAAAGCCTCAACAGATGAAAATATATTCAAAACAGTACTACAAACTTAAATCCCAGATGACTTCTGAGTATTAAGAGTTATATGAATCAAACATGAACAAACCAAATAGAGAAACAAAATAGAAACTCTCTCTTTTGGTTTCGAAAAACATAGAAAAGGAAGGAAACGGTGTAGACCGGAGACAACAGAGAGCTAAGACATTAACAAAATGGAAAATCATTAAATAATTTAATTTTTTTTTACAAACGAAAAAATGTATCTTTTAATATCGTCTGCTTCTTCATTCACTATATCGTCAAAGCAAAACATGAAAAACACAAACCTCGAAGTGAAAAGCAACAAAAAAGAATGGCATTGCCTTGTAAAAGACGAAAAGTACTTGCGCCGGAATATGGCGGTAAAGAGGCCGATCAGCGGCGGCGTCGAAGCAACACCGTGAGTAAGAGGAAAGCTTGAAATATAGGGTTTCTAGGAAAGGAAAAGAACGCAACTGAATTTGTATGAGAGAGCTCTGATGTTATTACGTATTCTGCAAATGAGGCGCTCTGCTTTGTCTCTCGACGTGAATATTTTGTCGTTTCACATTTTCAATGAGTACCAACACCGATAGCAATCCCCTGCGCCCACATCATTTCCCCAACAGGTGCCCCATCCTCAAAATAATGCTACGTGTAAATTTTGTTTTAATTTATTTTCACTTTTAAAATCTATTTATTTATTCAAAATTCGTAATTAATTGCACGTTGTTTAAAAATTTAAACGTAAATTTTTTAATATAATGTCTATCATATGTAGTTTATTTCCTACTCATAAATATTAACGGATTAAATATGTTTAGTCTCATATTTTCTTGCACATTGTACTACTGACAGTATTAATCAAATTAAATTCAGTTTACAAAATATAAATATATTAATTTTTTAAAAATTAAATAGTCAATAATCATTGCTGAAACTGTTTTTGTTGACGAAAACGGGTAAAGAAAACAAAAGAACACGAGAATTTTACGAGGTTCGGCAATGTGCTTACGTCCTCGGTGCCTAGGCGGCGCTAGAAGTTTTTATTCAATGATATTTTAGGTCTAGGTTACATCTCTATTTATAATAGAAAACCCTGGTACATAATTACAAAATTAACCCTGTACCGTACCGCGGGGGTTGCGCCCCCGCACCCCCAACCCACATAATTCGTAACCCCACAACGAGACTTTCTTTGTAATGACAGTTGATGTTCGCTTCGCTCACTCCGCTCCATCTCCTGTCCTCTTTACTGGTATATTTATGAGCCATACCTAACAGTTTTCAGATTGGAATAATGTTTTTTAATATAAAAATGCATTTATTTAGAAGATAAAATTGTCATCTTTCATTTTAAATCACCCTTTTATAAAAACGATTTTGAAGGTTTCATTTTTTTTAAAATAATTTTAGAATTATATGTTCAAATTAGATTAAAAAAAATAGAATTCGAAGGTTAGTTATGCATAAAACAATTAAAGAACTCATATAACGTTTAAACATTCGTACCTTTAAAATTGTGTTGTCTCATTTTATAAAAAAATATGTACTCAAAAATCAAAATTATATTTAAGAAATAAAATTAGATTGCATTTGTTGCTATAATGAGAGCCCAAGAGATGTATCCAATGAACTAAGTCAATGGGTCTAGTGGTCTAATGTTTGAGAGGGCCTGCACCAAAATAGCATAGGGATTGGGTTTAGGGTTATACGTTATCAAAACTTTGATTATATGGTGTAAGTGACTGTTTGTCTGTCTCTTAATAGAATCATTTAGTGCTGATTGATTCAGTAAAACAGTGCTGAATGATTCAGCACAGAATTAAATTCTGAATTATTCAGAGCCATTATCAAAAATCATATCACATTCAGAGCTAATTCATAGAGAGCCTCTGAATCATTCAACATTTGAATCATTCAACATTAAATCATTATGAAGTAAACAAACAGTCTCTAAATCAATAACCTGCATGTAAAGCAAGATTTGGCATATTCATTTCAAAAATTAAAAAAAACTATATCTCACTAAACCTGATTATGGTAATACAAAAGCAATTTTGCAATTGTCGTTGATTTCCCAGCTCAAACGATAATTGTACAGTCACCAGAGGCTTAAAAAATTTAGACAGATGAGGTGGGAAGATTGTCATGAAACACCTGAAATATGCCTCAAAGGAACACGATTTCATTGTGTGTGTTATTAGTTGGGGTGAACAAGACTCGTCTCAACTCGAAAATTAAAATTTTCGATTCGATTCGACTTGAATTGACTTCAAGTTATAATTTTATAAACTCAACTCAACTCGAAAAAAATTCAAGTTCAAATCGAGTTGTGAAATGCAACTCGAATAACTCAAAATTTTTAGTAATTAGTGGGTTTATTTTTAAATTTGAGCCGAGTCCTTGGACTTTGTATGATATATGTATATCACATATGAATAAATATATTTGTATTGTATATATAGTTATAGAAAGTCACTTAAATTGGAATTAAATAATATTATAATATTATAAATATTTACAACTAAATTTAAATAGAAAGTCGAAAAATCGATTCGACTCATAAAAATTTCAAGTTAACTACGAGTTGTAAAATAGGATTTGTCAACTCGAATGACTCGAAATTTTTTTACTTGACTCAACTCGATCGAACGCTCACCCATAGTTATCAGGCATGAAGAGGGGAAGCAGAAGGCCGAGGGTATGCGGCAACACTCCTCCCATTGTTAGTATCACCCGTACTCCGCCTGTGAATACGGGGTGGCTTTCTAGCATCGTTCTGATTACTTCCAGATTCAACCGAGCCCTGGAGCTGCTCTAATGCTGTTACAACCTCATTCATGCGCGGTCTGAATTTGGCTTCTGCAGACAGGCATCGTAAAGCAAGGGTAGCAGCCTTGAAGGCAGCTTCCAATGTATACTGGCCTTCAAGGCGGTTATCTAGGACACGGAATATTTTACGTTTGTTGGCCAGGTAAGGTCTGGCCCATTCCACAAGATTATGTTCTCCGGACGGTCGATTCTTGTCAACTGCTCTTCGGCCAGATAACATCTCTAGCAGCACCACTCCAAAACTGTATACATCACTCCTGGCTGTCAAATGACCTATGGATTGAGAAAATGTGGAAAGTTACACTATTGTGTTGCCTAGATATATAAGCACTCCAAAATGATATCAAAGTACCTGTGGCCAGATACTCTGGAGCAGCATATCCGTAGGTCCCCATGACTCTGGTAGAAACATGGCTCTTATCACCTGTGGGTCCATCTTTTGCTAACCCGAAATCAGAGAGCTTTGCATTATAATCCTGCGATGACATCAGAATAAAAGGTTCACCGAGGCATCGATGAATGATGTTTTGTTTTTTAATCCAGAAAATTATCAAATGAAACAATATCGTTGGCTCAACAAGTCACATACTGAATCGAGCAAGATGTTTGAAGTCTTGAAGTCTCGATATATCACTTTTGTTTCGGCATTGTGAAGAAAGGAAAGCCCTTTTGCTGCACCAAGAGCAGCCTTCATTCTAAGGCTCCATGAAAGAGGTTGGAAGTAAGAACCTCCTGGTAAAAAGAATTTCAATTTGAGGACAAAAACTACATTGTTCAAAACAATATCAGGAGAAAAAGGTAGAAAAAGAGAACTTACTTCTGAATAAATGATTCTCCAAGCTGCCACGGGGCATGAATTCGTACACCAAAAGACGATGCTCATCCTCTAAGCAATATCCAATCAATTTCACAAGATGAGGATGATGAAGCTGTCCCAGATAATTCACCTCTGCCTATAAGATTGAAAAAAAAGGCAGTGAATCTCTGCACCTCCATCTCGAAACATCAGTTAAAATGTGCACAAAATTGGCTACCACCATACACCAAAAGAAGGATAAGGTGAGGTGAAGGCGGACTCACCAACCACTCCCTATGACCTTGGAATCCTGCCTGGTTAAGCCTTTTCACAGCAATGACAGTCCCGGTTCCAGGCTTGGCAGCAGTTAATGAATTCTCATCAATCCACCCCTTAAACACCGAGCCAAAACCACCTTCTCCAAGCACACTATCGGGACGAAAATCCCTAGTGGCCATTTTCAGATCAGCAAAACTGAAACCCTTCAAATTGGGGGACTGTAAAATCTCACCCTCACTCCTGGGTGTCAGAGGTGTCGAAAATGACGAGACTTTGCTGCTTGTACCACTCGTATCTTTCCCATACTTTGAACTCAGCCATCCTGCTCAAAGATTTAACGCAGGCATTAGTTAATCGAGACAATCCAATTTTACAAGTAGAGTTCCTACTGTGAGAAGGGCGACATAGTGGCCGGATGGTGATCAGAGACGGTGGAAACGGTGTAAGAGGAGTGATGGACGGCAGCAAGGATTAGAGAAAACGAGAAAACTAACAACCAATTCAACAAACTAACGGACTATGAACAGCTGACCAACTAATTACAAACAGATTCAGTTTGCTCAACCATCTTAAGTATTCTAACACCGACTGCCCTGTCATAACTCAATCTTCTAATATTTCAGAGCAAACAAAAATGTTAACCAAATTAATGTAAAGCGGGATAGAATTTCAATGAGCAGTTTAGAAGACCAGAGAAAATTGTTCTAAGGCGCATTAACTATATATTAGCAACGAACCGCAATGTGACAATGGTGACATTCTCAGTCGCAGGGTCCAAGAGCAAGCCAGATGGAAAGAAATTGTTTGGTTGGTTGCCAAGAAAACTGACGGAAATTGCAGCTTAAAAGTTCAAACATCAAACAACCAGAACCCCGAAAGAGGAAACAACATGAAAGGAAAGACAAAAAAAAACCGGAAGGAAAATATCAACGTACTTAATTAGGCCAATCGATAGTCCAAATCAACTAAAAACAAAATCAGCATAATATGATAATGATGCTCGTAAAATGGGAAAGGAAAAGGTTGTTTTTAGAAACTCAAAACTACCTGTGTTACTTGGGCTCTCATTAATTCTGGCACTGAAGCAAATCCCCATCAAATCAAGTCCTGGAAACAAAAACCACGCTTTTCGACTCTCCTTCTGAATATCTTAAAACACATAGAAACCAGAATTCAACAAAGAAATGAAGCAGATCTACGTTTTAATAACCATAACTCTATCCCTCCTACCAAACAAAGCACCCTAAGCACGACACTTTTCATTACAACATCGAACATAAGATAAAAATACCTATAAAACGAGAAGCCAAGTCACCCGAGAAAAAAGTAGCACAGCTTCTTCTGTGTAACCCAACCCAACCCAACTTAGAATGAGATCAAACGAGAGAGGGTATTGTCAATGTTGCAGCAAAAGCTTGAATTTTTCTTGGATGAATAATGGCAACTGGCCAAGTAGGAGGTGAACAATGAATATGATGATGGGTCGCGAACGAAAAGAGAGTTTTTGTCTTTTTGAGGAAGGGGAGACGAATTGTATTAATGGCGGCCCGGTCCCTCTTTTCTAAGCGTTGACGTTTTATACTTTCTATCTATCAGTAAAGCTTTGAATTTACAGTCAAGCCACATAAAGAGAAGGCGTCATTGTAGCTTTCAACGTATTGATTGTGTTGAATACTCAAAATCTTAATAATAAAAAAAAGAATACTCAAATTCCATGAACATAAACTATTTAAAAATGAAAACCCTTTTTTTAATGGATAATATTACTTTGGTTGGACATTGGATGGGTCAATCTGTAATTACCCTAATCGATTCTATTGGCTACTAATCTTCATATCTCCCCTTCTCCTCATGGAAAGGACAAAGCAGTATTTTCCTTTCTGATGAAGAAAGAGATTATTATCATGTGCCTCATTAGTATTCTATTTTCCTTTTATGTCATTTTTTGAATTTTTCAAATAATTGCACTCGAAGAAGAAATTATTCATTTTAATAAAAATATAAATACAAGTCAGTGATGAGAGCTTTGAGAAGGATGTTAAAGTTGAATTCCAAACCTTCATTTAATGGATATGCAAAAAAATTATTTTTGTTATTTTTCTTAACATATTAATTTAAATTTTATATTTTTCCTTAAATAACAGAGATGCACTTGACCTAAGGGAACTTAGTACATCCATCCTTGGACTGAGATTATAGGTTAGGGTATTGAGGTTAATCGTAATTTAAAACATAATATCTTGAGAAAAATGAATTATATATATATATATAGAGCTGGTTTCCAACTTTCCATAAACTATTACGGCAGTATTTTGTTTTAACTTTGAAATGTTTTTATCGATATTCCATGAATTTATCTTTGAAGATGCCAAGAAAAAATAAGGTGATATTATCAGTGCATGTCTGGTTCAAACTTCAAGGGGTGAAATATACAATATGAGGATTATTTAAATTTGAAGAGTCAGTCAGCAAAAGTAGATTATCAAGTGCAAATGGATCATTCATGTTCTAGCTTAGCATTGCTTAAATATGGTAGTTCTAGATCAATGTTTGACGACAAGTCGTATTACGAAAAATAACAAAAATTTTAAAGCAGCAGATATGCTGATTAACCAACTGCTTAAGTATGGTAGTTTTGAGAATTGGAGTGGTTCAATCGAGGTTTCAAATTTTGACTCTAGGAAGGGAGTGTGTCACGCCTTCTGGAAGTGTCATAAGATCCCAAGGGCACCCAAATTTTCCAAGGTCAAGCTTAAAGAACCCTAGGACTCGTCTGAATTTTTGTATTTTAGTATAATTATCGATGCTTGGTTTTTCAATTATCAATTTAAATTTAGTATTATAAAGATTCATTATAAAATTGATTCTTTTGATTTTGTTTGTTTTAATCACGGCTTCAAAATTTAAAACATAAATATCAATTAAAGGATCAAACATCTCGTCATATTAGTTGATATAATAATATAAAAAATAAGACTAAATTATACGTTGGTATTTTAATTTGTTATATTTTAATCATTCAATTATTTTTTAAAAATTATACTTAATATTACGTTTTGATTTTATTTTGGTCACTTACTGTTAAATAATTTACAAAACTACCGACATTGGAATTTTAAAAAGAAAAATCAATGATGATGTGATATTATCTTATGGTGATACATCAGTGTCTTCGTTAATTTTTTAATAGTGGATGGCCAAAAAATAACATTAGATATAGTTTAAAGATAAAAATAGTTAAGTGACCAAAATAGAACAAAAATAATAATTAAACTACTAAACATGAAGTTTACCCAAAAATTAGATTATGGTAGCAATATTTAAAAAATTAGATTATGGTGTTTTCCTTTAGATTTTATTTACTCGACAACACTAATTTTAGTGTTGATTATCGACTATCGACATTTTTTGTTTTTCTCTATTTTTTTATATTGCATCCTTATTTTTATTTTATTTTTAAATTTTTAATAACTCTATCTTCCTAACATGATTTTATTTGTCTTTATGACACGTTTTTCTATGTCTTTTGGTACGTTTTCGATATTCTGTATCGATCGTTTAACAATTATTTTTGTTACTTTTTCAGGTTGGTTTGACATCACGTCAACTGATCAATATAATGTTTATTTATTATATTGTCCTGATTTGGACCATCGAATAAATTTGGATATGATGTTTATTTTCGAAGACAGTTTTTTCAACACACTCGACTTCGATTCGTGATTATCGGTGTTTTTTCAGTTGCATGATTTCCTGTGGTTCCGTTTGTCAATGCAATCCGATCTATTTGTATTCTTATTTTGTTGGAATCTTTTTACGAGTTTTTAACATTTTACTTGTATGATCCTTTTATGATTTTAGGTGACTAGTTTTGTGTTGATGATTGTAGGAAATGACCTAATTATATGTATAGCTTACACTTATGATTATAAATTATCATTGCAATTTTAATTTTTAATTTTTTAAATAAAACTACGGCTTCTATTTGTATGAAAAATATAATTGTGTTGCTCATTGTATTAGATGAACTAATAATTAATTATCAAACAGAACATGGTCAGTCAATACGCAATTAGGAAGTAACAAGTACCAAGATTCAATTTTTATATAAGTGGGGCATGCCTAGTCAATCAGTATAATTTGTGAATTAAGGTCTATTCGGTAGATGAAGAAGCAATGTGCTGCTCTATCCGATTGAAAATCGCGTGGCGTCAGACTGATCAATCTTTACTGGAGAATGAATCAACTCGTGAGCATAATGGCATACTAGCAAGTGCATTATAATGAATCATATAAACAACAATTCGTAAATTTAACAAGCTATACCAATTTGTTTCAAGGACGGCTTAATGAATCATCAAAACTAGAGCTCGCATAGAATTTCACTTCAATGGGGTGGGGTGCGCCAGGCCCAAGCTTTAGTGTAACGCTTAGGCGACGCTCGAGAACCCCAGTAAGCAACCTGCTGTGATAAGTCCTACCCTCAAAAAATAAATTTAATATCGTATAGGCCATTGACCCACATATAATATATTAAATTGATAAGAATAAATACTACACTGATCTTAGCCAAAAGGCCGAGAAAAGTACGAGTTGTCCACTCCAATTCGGCTTCTTTTAAAGGCTCCTTCCCAGCCTCGTTGTTTTATAACCATTTGGTATAAGATCAGTAGCAGCGGATCTAGAAATAATTTTTAGAATGAGTACACATATGTTAATAACATAAAATTTTTAAATGTGATGAGTACAAATGAAATTTCAGGGTGGACACCGTCTATAAAATAAGTAACTAATCGGAAAAAAACTCAAATTTCAGGATAAACACGAAAATTTTCAAGGTGAATATCATTAGTAAAAAAAGTAATTAATCGAAAATATTTGAATTTCAGAGTTCTAACTAATACGTGGCTCCGTCACTGTGTGGGATTAGACAACGTATTCAGAGAGGATTAGGGATGGGTATGGGTCGGGTTTTTGGTCCACCCGACCCGACCCGAGAACAAGGAGTACTCCACCCGAAACCCGACCCGAAATAATAATAAAATTATTATTATTCAGTAAAAACAATGACTTAATTGGAAAACAATATAGAGGGGTATTATTGTAATTATTCCTAAATATATAAAGTAAAATTATATTTTTTTTAGTCGGGTCGGGTCGAGTATTTTTCACCCTAAAACGGAACCCGACCTGACCCAAACATCACATTAAAAAAACCTGATCCGACCCGACATGGACCCGAATTTAAAAAAAATATGACTCGATTAAGTCGGATCGGGTCGAAACCCATTAGATTCGGGTCCAATGCCCATCCCCAGAGAGGATGAACACTTTGATTTTACATACCAATCATTGGAGATAAATCTTTCTTATTGTGTTTAATTATAAACACATGAAAATAGACAAATTAAGAGTACCTTTGTTTTTGTTTAAACACTCGATTGCATGAATAGATATTTATATAATTTGTTTATAACCAATAAATTTGTAATGTGTTTCAAAATATTCTTTTAAATTTGTCAACTAATTAGAAATTAAAATCAAAGACATCTATTTAGGTATAAAAGAAACTACAAAGACTTATTTAAATAGGTTATGAACATTTTTAGTAAATTAATTGAAAAAAAATATATAGCTGAGCCTTAAATGAATATCTGTAAATAAATTAAGTTTGAGTGATTAAATATTAACATCAGTTAAATTAAAAATATTTTTCTTTACCGAAATGTTTACCCATTAAACAAACTTTACTGTCTCAAAAATAAAAATTAAACAAACTTAAGTGTATCATATGTCCCTAAACTATGATGTTCATTTTAATTGGTCCCTAAACTTTTAATTGTTCTAAATTTATCCCTAAGTTATGACTATCATTCTAAATTAGTACTCAAACTTTCTAATAGTACAATTTCATCCCAAACTGTTACCTTCATTCTAAATTGGTCCCAAACTTTTTGAACATTCCAATTGCATCCCAAACTATATGTAATCACACCCCTTGTTAATAAAATATTTAGGACAAATTATATTATTATATGTTTGAAAAGACAAAATTAAAGTTAAATTATGGTTGAAGCTAATTATATATTTAGATGAATTTAGGGATGAAATTGGAATATTCAAAAGTTTGGGAACTAATTTATAAAGAGGTTCATAGTTTAGGGATAATATTAGAATGTTAAAAAGTTTAAGGACTAATTTAAAATGTAAGTCATAATTTTAGGATGAAATTAAGATATTCAAAATTTTGAGGATCAATTTAAAATAAATAATATATTTTGGAGACTTTTGGTGCAATTAACTCAACAAACTTTGCGCCTTTTCCTATTTGGACATCCATGTGACCATCTTTATTATTTGGAACCTTGAAGCATGTTATTTGGGAAGCGTGCGGCGGCCTTAATAGGTGATTAAGTTTTGTTATTATTTTTTAATAAAATTAGTAAAAAATTACTGAAAACATTATTATTTTTACTTGTTTTGTTATTATTGGGTGTTTTATCGGTTTTATTAATAAATCCGATAAAACACTACTGGTTTTGTTATTTTTATACCGATTTTGTTATTATTAAACACTTTAACGGAATTGTTAAAAATTATTAATGTTTTAGGTAGAAATAATAATGTTTTAGGTAATTTTTTACTGGTTTTATTTAAAAATAATAATAACAAAACCGTTAACGTTTTTCTTTAGCCGTATATTAAGAGTGCCACACTGTAGAACTTCTCATGATCCACACAAGACGTTTTCATCGACTAAACAACCACTGGCTGGTCACACCATTAAATAATATAAATTGAATGCATATGTTTTTAATGGTATGATGTGATTATAAAATATATATATTTAATTTTTTTTATAATTATCAATAATAAATTTATATCATACAATTGTTTAAACTAAAACTTCTAATGAAAATCATATTCTTTTTATTACTAAGATTGAATACATATATTTGATAACACGTGTATAAAGGGATGGATGTAGGATTTTATGTTGGGGGTGAATTTGAATTTAAAAAATTTTAGGGGACGAACTTGAACTTATAAAGTTTTAAGAAAAAAAAATTTAGTAAAAAAAATACATAGATAAATATAAAATATATGATAATTTAAATATTTTTGGGGGAACGACTCCATCTGTCCTGCCTAAGTCATCCCTGCATGTATACTGATAGGATAAATGGTACACAATGGGCCAATGTCAACATTCAAATTTGGGAGTAATGGACCTTTTTGTTGGCCCATTAACATCGACCTTTAATTTATTGGCACTTATTATTTATTGAATTTGAATATAATTTGCTGTATAAATTTTACTCGTCAGAAGTAATCGATTTCGAGCACAAGGTTAAAATATCTTTGATACGTGTGAATAATATATTTGTATTGTAGTAAAATAAGATACAAAGAATAGGTGTGGTGGGTCAAGCAAGATGGTTGCGTATTCAGCAAGTTTTGTCCCACTTTCAAATATTGAATAATAATGAGTGGTGACTTTGAATTGTTTGGGTGTTGAATGTTATAATATTAATGGTGATGGAGGTGGAAATCAAGTTTCTTCCATTGTTTATCTTTAATATATTTAATTAATTCATTGACAATTGACAATGATCCAACATAATATATATATATATATACTAGCTAAATATTATAAGGATAATTACAGTCAAATTAATAGATTTATTCCATTCATCTATTTTATGCCCTCTAAATAGTACAATTTATATAAAATAAAACTACAAGTAAGATGAAAATATTTTAATTTATTATCATTATAAAAATGTCAATAGGATACGAATAAAATAATTTAATGTTAATAGATTAATGAATTTTAGATTTCAAAGATACATATAATTATATGTAATCGGCAATTCATAGTATAGTAGGTAGTTCAGTTTATGTATTGATTTTTCCCCTCCTATTTAAATACATCGACTTAATTAATATGTACTGACTTGAGTCGCACACATTTTTTATAAGTGAGTCTCTTAGCGAATTTTTTTTATACACACGAACTCAAACTTAAAATTTTACTTAAATGATATCAAATTATTTACCATTTGTATTAACTGATTGATGGTTTATGTATTGATTTTAAACGTGAAATAAATTTGTTTATAAATAAATGCGGAAAAAAAAGTCAAAAGCTGAGACGCGCATTGTACTCGGGGATGGGCGTTGTCAAGAAGGGGTTACGACTGTCAATAATGAGTTGCCAGATTTCGGTAGACAGTTGCTTCTACCAATCCTCTATGCTTGATCCAACGGTGAAGGTGGCACGGTTTTCGATGACTATTTAACGAGTGTTTTTAATGTGGCACGGTGAAAGTAGTAGCACTTTGACATTTCGAAGCGATGTAGACTGTATTGACCTCCTTTAAAAATATAAACTAAAACACCGCCAATATGAACTATGTGAAGCTTCTTAGTCAACGCTCGCGCCACCACTCACCTAAAAAATATAAAGTAAAAAATGGAACAAAAGAAGTGTGATTTTTTCTTCTCCGCTTTCTTTCAGCAAAAGTCAACTCCCCTTCATATTTTCATCATCCCCTGAAATGTTAAAGCAAAAATAACAGCAGAAAAAATTGAGAGAAGAAAGAAAGCTTAGATTTTTCCTTTCATACATAATTTTTTATGTTTTCTTAATTATGGGCGGCAACTTAAGTGTGTGTTTCACCGGCGCCAGCGGCGGCGGATATGGCGGAGAAGAAGCTCGCCGTAGGAAAGAAATATCCTCGTTATTATCGGATCCTCTCGACCAAGGACTCGGCCACTCTTTCTGCTACGTGAGACCCGATGCGACCCGTCTTTATTCATCCAAGGTCCATTCCGACGAATCCACCACTACTTTCGGTACGATATCCGGAGCCTCCATTAGCGCCAACACATACACGCCGCTTTCGACTGCGCTGGTGGATCCGTACGTCTCTTACAACAGCAGCTGCTTCGACCGAGCTGCAGCTTTCGAGAGCACTACCTCGTTTTCATCGATCCCACTGCAACCGATTCCGAAGAATCTGATGAACTCTTCGGGTCCATTATCGGGGAGCATCGTTACCGGTTCGGGTCCTTTAGAAAGAGGATTCATGTCGGGTCCTATTGAGAGAGGGTTCATGTCGGGTCCTCTCGATAATTTTAGTAATCGCGGGATATTTTCGGGTCCACTCCATAAAGGTTTTTCCGATCAGTTTATAAGAAGCTTTTCTCATGGAGCTTTTGCTTTGAAATCCAGATCGAGAAAAGGATCTTTAACTCGGATCCTCCACAGAGCAATATCTAAAGTTTCCCGCGGCCAAAAGTCCGTTGTCGCTCCAATTAAAGGCGTCGTTTCGGTTAAAGAATCCGAATGGGTAATTGGGTCTGATAAGAACCTGATTAATCATCAAAATGGGATTTTGACGGTCAGTAGCTTGAATCTGAGCAGCGAAGTTAGTTTAGACGATGATGGATTCATGGAAAATCAAAACCTTCAATGGGCACAGGGGAAAGCTGGCGAGGATCGCGTACACGTCGTCGTTTCAGAGGAACGTGGATGGGTTTTCGTTGGTATTTATGATGGATTCAACGGTCCAGATGCTCCTGATTTCTTGTTATCAAATCTTTACTCCAATGTTGGTAAAGAACTCAAGGGTTTGTTGTGGGATGATGGGTTTGAACAAGCCCCTGCATCTTCCCCTGAAGAAGAAAAACAAAGAAGGAAGCCCGAACCGGCTACCCGTTGCTCCGGTGATGCTTGTTCCCAGTGTATCGAGAAGGAGAACTACCCCTGTGAGAAAGAAGTTAATTTCAACTCTAATTTGAGTTCGAAAAAGAAAAAGGTTAGGACATCGAGGGCGAGGTATAAAAGTGCAGCGAAGAGGTGGGAAGAGAATCAAAGGAAGTGGAAATGCGAATGGGATAGGGAAAGATTTGAACTTGATAAGAAACTAAAGGACCAATTGAATAGAAACAAGTCTTCCAGATCAAGATCGATGATTAATCATGGTGATGTTTTGAAAGCTCTGTCTCGGGCTTTGAAGAAAACAGAGGAGTCTTATTTGGATATTGCTGATAGGATGTTAATGGAGAATCCAGAGTTGGCTTTGATGGGTTCTTGTGTGCTTGTCATGTTGATGAAAGGAAAAGATGTTTATGTAATGAACGTCGGGGATAGTAGGGCTGTTTTGGCGCAAAAGCCAGAGCCCGATTACTGGTTGGGGAAGGTTGAACAGGATTTAGAGAGGATTAATGAAGAAACATTGCATGATCTTGAAGGTTTTGATGGAGATAAATTTAGTTCAATTCCTGATTTAACTGCTTTTCAGCTTAGTGTGGATCATAGCACCAGTGTAGAAGAGGTAAAATGTCATACACCAGTCTTTTAGTGCAAAATGAAAAGATTTATATATCCTTATTTGATCATCGATGGATTGAGATTGATGTTCTTAATTTCATTCCAGGAAGTTCAAAGAATAATAAATGAGCATCCTGATGATGCTTATGCAGTGATGAATGACCGGGTTAAAGGTTCTTTGAAGGTCACTCGAGCTTTTGGGGCTGGATATCTCAAACAGGTAACTATTCTTTAACTTCTTAAGCCATATAGATGAATATGGTCAATTAGGTTGATGTTTGAGAAATGAATTTTATGGACCATCAGTTCAAGAACCACAATCACATGGGAAATATTTGTTAATTGTCATAGTTCTGCAAATTCATCAGCAGCTGGTACATAGAAATATATATTTTGTGTTTCTTTTCTGTGGATTAGCGATGAGAGTTGAGATCATTTGCTTGATAATTAGGGGATCGAACTACTTCAAATTTTAAGGGATGGACTGGCATTGAATTTTGGAAATTTGTTTGCATCAGAAAATTCTGTAACTGACCCTCGTTTCTCTACAAACTTGTGCAGCCAAAATGGAACAATGCTCTTCTAGAGATGTTCAGAATAGATTACAAAGGAGTTTCTCCATATATCACTTGTGTGCCATCTCTCCACCACCACAGATTAGGTCCCAAAGACCGATTTTTGGTATTATCTTCCGATGGGCTCTATCAATACTTAACAAACGAGGAGGCCGTATCCGAGGTCGAACTTTTCATCACAATGCAACCCGAGGGAGACCCTGCTCAGCATCTTGTCGAGGAAGTTCTGTTCCGTGCCGCAAAGAAAGCTGGTACGATTTCGAATATCAGTCCTTATCCCTCATCTTTGTTCCCCATCATACGTTTTTCCATGAAACAAAGTTTGAACATATTTGATGTTGGCTATTGCAGGCGTGGACTTTCACGAGTTACTCGAAATACCTCAAGGCGATAGACGGCGGTACCATGACGATGTATCCGTCATAGTTATCTCTTTAGAGGGAAGAGTATGGAGATCTTGTGTATAAGTTAAAAAAAAGAAAGAATATGCAGATGGAAGATATACCGAAACCTACCAAAGAAACTCTGGCGTTTCGTTTTTGCAGTCCCCCCCCCCGATCAGCCGTGTAGCATAGCAATGAAGTTCCTCGGAGGATCGAGGAACGTAGTTATGAAAATGTAGGGGGTGGTGAGGGGGTGTATAAAGGTGTGTTCATGTTGATTATATAAACCATCATAGAAATTGAAATTTTCTAGTAATAAATAACAATTATTCTTTTTGAAAAAAGGTGTTTTGTTCGCCGTCATCGCCCACCATTAATTTAAAAAGCCTATAACATGTTTGATTACAATATTTGGCTTTGTTGCTCGTGTATTGCCAATCATCTCAGTGTCGGTATACTGAGCAGTACTAGCCTGTAACATATAGATGCTAGATGAACCCTCAAGGACATATCTGTCATCCTTCTTTTTAAATAAAATTAAAAAAATAGAGGTATTTGGTTATAATATAAGACGATAATGATAAGTATAAAATTATTTCAAGGAAAAAAAATAAAACAACAAGATTTACATTAAAATCCCTTGTAGAAAAAAAATTAGGGTAGACAATTCAAGCATACTTTATCTTCCATGACTATACATTTAGGCCCTTTGTAGTTTATATCATGCTATTATCTTTAATTTTCTGAAGAAGGGGTGCCCTAAAATCATCGGTTGAGTTAATTCGTGTCCGCTCGTCTGGATTATATGTTCGAAATTAGAGCCAAAAACGTTGCACTATCTACTAAGATCCATTAAGATTGTATGTAATTATGATACTAAATTGCTTTGATTAGGTTCTGGGATGAAAATTTATGCTTCTATAACCTATAGGCACTTGATCTGCGTTATCTTCTTAAGATAATGTTTTTTGAGAAAGAACAACCTAATTGACGTTTCAAGAGAGAAAATATGCAACGACAATGACTTTAATACTATCTTTTCCGAAGATATTTTTTGTGATGTTTGATATTTTAATAATATTCTCTTTATAAAGCGTATTTTAAAAATTTTATTAATTAAAGATGAGTTTGATGTTAAACCACCCCAAGTACACAAAACTATGATTTTTTTTTTGTAATTAAAAAAAAGGCAGAATGGAGGTGGTTGACTGTGGCCATTGATCAGTATTCATGAAACCATGGTCCATAATAAACAAGTTGGTACATTGGTACTTGTCCAAAGAAGACACGAGAATAAAAACAAAATATTCACCAAAATACCAACAACAAATGGACCCTTTTACCTTTTATTATCATCTACTTCAATTTCCACATTTTACCTTTTTCATCAAGAATCCATTATGGATCATAAATTAAGTTTATAATTTTGATAGGGTCAAGAGCCAATTCTACCTTTGACTTTTCCAAGTTGGAATTGGAAGCAGACATTGAAAAATGTCGAAAGTCACCTTCTAGGAGAAGAAAAGGGGGGAAATCTTTTATTTTTGGAATATTTTTTTTCTCAAGAGCAATGCTACTTTAATCTAGAGCAAACAAATACATGACCCGATGAAGCTTTCGGCAAGCTTATCAACTTAAACCTGCAACTCATTTCTTTTACTTATTTTTCCCTCAAAATCTACATAAGCAAATGGACCTCCCCTCTATCTAATATATATATATGGGTCCACCACTGGGCATGATTGCTTTGTTTTTTTCTCCCATCATGTGAAAGGGGATGTCTTTGATTGACCTCGCTTGGGATACTTTCAAGTGCCATGGTTTTTCAAGGCTTATCCATCGATTCATTTTCAGCAGCAGTCCTTCCGGAGCCTCGGGCACCCATCTTTCTAAACGAACCAACCGCAGAGAGGCTCTTGAAGCTGCTGCTTCCTTCACTGAAATTCCTAGACTTCCTCGGTTTTCTCATCTTCGAGGAACTAACATCTCCGATGTCGTGATCGGCTTCATCGCGGTTCTTTGTCTTGGCTACCACCAACCGGACGATGGTGCTCCGGCAAAAGGGGCATACCGGGGGTGTTAGACTTGCAGTTGCGGGGTTCGGCTTGTTGTGGCAGCACAGTGCCAGTGTGCATTGTGCACACATCTGGTGGCCGCAGTCTTGAACTTCAATTGTGCAGATTTGTTCAAAGCATATGCAGCATAGTTCGGTATCACTAGCCTACATCAGGTATTTCCCCGCAAATATTATCAGCTCCATTACAGCAACTGTTGATTGTTATAGATAGTTCACGTACTAAAGGAAAATGCAGTAAAAATAATTATGCTGTGAATTGCTAGCCCATGAAATTGAAGACTATGTATAGCATCTAAACATGTTGGGGACCGAACTACTGGTATGCGAGGACCACAGCTGAGACCGAGGCTCCAGGGCAAGTCTATAGATATAATCATAAAGAAAACTAGTATTTCAAGGTAAGGATATCAAGCAAACACAAAATGGTTTAAGTTTATACACCAATTACTCATCATCGTAGTCTTAACTAACGACAAGGAAGACTAAATTTGAACAAAAACCGAACTATCGATTCATGAACTAGATTGGATTGAAGTTAGAAATGTGAAAGAAAAGGCAAAGAAAACATTTGAAGGAAGGCATCCAACATTTTACCTCGGAAACACTGTCCTCTAACCCGGAGTCGGAATGCGAGGGAGAAGTAAGTAAGTAAGTTGTTCCATTGAGGATGTTCTTCTCCCTTTCCCGGTTTGCCTCCATTAAGGCTTGTTCTAATAGTGTTTTTGCCCCCTCGTTAAGCTCGCTGATGAACTTTAGCGGTGCTGGCCAGACAATAGGTTCGGCTGATGAAGGATTTAACAGAGCTGCACATGCTCCATGTTTGTGCTTTAAAGCAACTACATAGGGTATTCTCCTGTAAACATACAAAAATTGAAATTTAGGAAGGAAATATAATGAGAAAAACTCAGGAATCTCTTGCAATGCTTTCCCAAAACATCAAGAAAAAACGATCTTTGATAAGGTAATACCTCTGGTATCTATACACATAAAATGTAATCAGACCATACCCGGATGCATCTCTTTGAAGACGATCCGCACCCCAAGCCAACAACTTGCGGACACAATCGAGAGACCCCCCTCTAGCTGCTAAATGAAGAGGCGTGCTTCCAGGACAACTGAAGAAAACGAAAACCAATCATTTCTATCTTTAAAAGACTGGGAAAAACAATAACAAAAACAATTGTAATCACGAACTGTGCAGGAATTATTACACATATCCACTGGTTGAGGCACAAGCGAGAGCGCCGTTGTCTAACAGGATATGTACGCATTCAGGCCGCCTTTGACGAGCTGCTAAGTGCAAGGGAGTAGCTCCCTTTGCGTCTCTTAAATTCACGAAACGTGCATATCCCCTGATATCAAAGCCGATACAAACATATAAGATCAACTAAAAACTGAGATCAATGGCCTAAATTAATTCAAAAAACATTGGAAAGAAATATTTAAACAATCTTGATTGAGAGAAGAAACACACCATGAAGCAGCAACAGGGCTGGATTGAGCGGCAGAGAGGATCGCTTGAAGACAGTCGGAGTGACCATAATAGGCTGCATAGTGCAAGCAAGTTCTTCCATGAATGGAGTCAAATTTTAAGATCTGAAAAGCATGGAACAGATCATGCACATCAAATTTATATTTCCAATACTCATAATGCATTAAATCGTAACTTTAAAAATGGTTAAAAAGAAGAAGGAAAACAAAAGGCTCACATTTGCCCCAGCTTCAATGAGCTTTTTCACGCGGGAGATCTTCCCATGCATTGCAGCCAACATAAGTGGAGTCTGAAAACATTCAAAAGGATGAAGAAACGTAAAGAAAATATATAAAGCCAACCCCCCCCCCCCACCACCACAAAAAAAAATCAAAGCTTTAATAAAAATGACCTGCTTTTGACGATTCACTACATCCGGGTTCACGGATTTCTCCAAAAGCATGTTCAAAATCTACCCAAAAAAAGAAAATAAATCATTTTTGCATCAAGCGAATGAAACCAAATATGGATCTAACAGCTCAAAACCAAGGTAAATGAAGTTTAAAAAAGAAGAAAACTTAATCCAGAAGGCTATCTTCAAAAACTTGCAAAATGATTACTCACCTCGATCTGGCCATAAGCAGCAGCTATGTGAAGAGCAGAGTTGCGATCATAAACAGTTCTATGATGTAAAGGATTTGATTCTCTCTTTAATAAAGCTTCCACAGTTTCAAGGTCTCCAACTTGAACCGCACTAAGCAATACATTCTCTTGACTCGCTCCACAACTCAGCCCTTGACCCATCTTTCTAGATAGGAAAAAGAGCCTTGCGGTTTCTTCTACCCTTCCACCACCGTCGTCGGTGACGCCCTCCGGTGATGGTGGTGCTAGGTTGTTGTCTGGCCTCTCTTAATTTAGCAAAAATAATATTCACATCCGTGCAGTCGTCTTTAAAAGCCAAAAGCGTGTGGTTTTTGATTTGGATAAATTTTATTATAAGCATTCAATTATTAGCAATATTATAAATGGTCAACTAATTTCAAAACGTTGCAGACAAATCATTCAATTAATCGGAAAAACACATTTCAAGTTTTAGGCTTCTTGAAGATCGAGAGTTTCATTCGAAAATTTGATCGATAAAGAGGTTGTTATTGGTAATATGAAGAATATTTCTTAATTCATTAAAGGAAGATGATGTAGATTCGAGTCACAAAGTTTAGAAATTTTAGAGTGATTTCGTGATTTTTTGGGAGATTCTCAAGAATCTAATTTCTTGAACAAAGAGATTAAGATAAATTTTATGACAAAATTTGAGATTCATCAACCATGGTATACGATTATCAGTAACAATCAACGCAATGATTCGTAACGTGATTATTATAATAAATTAATTTATTAATTTAATTATAATTTTTCTAAAATCTAATTTTTTTAATGAGTAAAATATTTTAGGTCAATTTTTTTAATATTTAATAATTGGATGACATTTTTGTATCAACTAGATAATTTACTAATTGAGTAACTCGCTTGTAATGTTTCAAAGTTAAGTGACCCTTTATATAGTATTATTGATAATTGAGTAAACCATCATGTAATTTACTCTTTTAATTTTTAGTTTTTTCCTTTTTTTATAAATGTTGGATTATTTAGCTGCCCGTGTCAGCAACCGGGACGCAGTTGTCGGGCAGTTATCAGATAAAACATTTGCTTTTCGGGGCATATTAGATTCTTGTATAGAAAATCCAAATGGAATACCTCAGCCGTGGATTACTTTTGTCAGTCGGCATTAGCCGTACGATTGTAAGGTTAAAATTGGGAGCATGAATACGTTGATCAACAAAAGTGAAACCGTTTAGCCAATAAAATTGCAGCGTGTAATTCAGATTTACGGATGTCTTTCCTAAAATACCCTTTTCGTAAATTTTAATTTTTGACTTTCATTCACTATCACTTTGGTCTACTTGTCAAAATCAAGTCAGTCTCCTTCATTTATCTTTTTACCGAAGAGACAGTTACAGTGTCTAAAGACTAAAAAACGACGGCGTTCTATCCCTCAAAAGAAACTCCATTACTTACTTGTTTGGTTAATCTATGTCAAATATCACTCATCTTTATGTTCGTGATCGAAAATGTCTTTGACGTTTCAATTTTATTAATTTTAGTACGACGTTTATGTTTTATTAATTTTGTCACTCGGTCGTTAATCATTAACAGCACGATAACATGGCATTCAATACCGTGACAACGATGACATGGACGATTTTTTTAAAAATTTTAATCCACGTAAGATCATTGTTTCCATTTGATTGATATTTTAAGTTTTTTAAGTGGATTACCTCTCGACAACACTAATAGAATCGCCTAAGCTCCCATTTCCATGAAAGCTATCTTCATGTTCGAACTGAGGTTTTTAGAAAAAAAAGAAAGCAATAAACGAAGCTAGCAAGTAACTAAAAACTCGAACCAGAAAAATAATACGCAGAACTTAATGACAAACACCCATTAACCTAAATCGACTATTCCGAAGAAAATATACGATGAGAAGGAGAGAATTTAGGGGTTTATCAAAACCTAAATGAGAAAACCCTAAAAGAGAAATGAGGGGATATGCAATGAAAATGTCAGACAAAGAAAAATAAAATGGAGGCAAAGGGAGAAAAGGAGCAACTAGATCTGCCACGAGGGACGAACCAATTTCTTTCGAAACAAGAAACAAAAGAGTATTTTGTTATCTGGTGATGAAGATACGATGGGTATGGGTCTTGAACGAAAGGAACCACATCCCATGCGACTGGTTCAGCTCGCACACATGCACACTCTCGGCCCTCGAACCCGTCGGTTTACCAGTGACGATAGCTTCGCGCTCTTTCGAATTCTCATACTCTATCGATATTGAGTAAAAATAAACCAAATAAACGTGGAATAAAAATATTGCAAATTGTAGGAGATGGAGGGGAACTCAAGGAAGGATGAAAGAGAAGATGTGAAGAGCCAGAAAATGAAAAATATTTAGATCCAAGAGGAATTTGGTTTGGTAGTGCTGTGGTGTTTTTCTGCAGATCCAAGAGGAATTTGGTTTGGTAGCGCTGTGGTGTTTTTCTTAACTTTATGCAGATCCAAGAGGAATACTAATGAATTGTTTAATGGTTTCGGGAATAATAAAACACAAAACTATAAAAGTTGTACCGTTTTAGGAATATAAATAGTCATTGGCAAAACTACGTCGTTTTAATAAATCATCCATGTCATCGCCGTCATGACATTAGAACACCATGTCATCGTGCCGTTAATAGATTAAAGATAAAGTGGCAAAATTGTAGTGAAACATAAACGTTCGTGCTAAAATTGACAAAATTAAAACGTCACTGACATTTTCGATCACGAGCATAAAGATAAACGGTATTTGACATAGATTACCCTAATTGTTTTTTTCATCTTAAAAATGTAAATCTAACTATAGTAAATTGAAGTTTGAAATCCATTTGGGTGCAACAGTCAATTTCTTTGAAAGGAATGTATAAGGTGATAATTTCAAGTTATTATTATCAGTTTAAGATGATTATAGATATTATTTATTTTTAAATTTTAAATTTACCGATATTACATACTTTATAAACGTAATAGTTTAAACCCGTAACCATCCGAACTTCAATTATTTTAAAAATAATTTCCTAAATTATAAGCCTCTATACGAGGATCGATTTGAGACCACGTATTTTCTCTCTACCACTCAACATTACCAACTGCAAATGCCCCATTTATATCAATCAATGGAATGTGAATATGCCCTCCAAACAACTAAAGCCAAACCCAATAACTAACGCATCACAATAATTTATATATTATTATTGAAACTCACACATACTTTTACTTCGTTTATATTTTGAGAGAAGGTGGAGAGAAAGAGGAAGAAAAAGATTTTGAGAGATTTTATAAAAGGATCAAATCAAAATTAAGCATAAAAATTAAGAGTTAGATGTATCTATTTTTAAATATATTATTGTGTTATTTAATTTTTCATAATCTATACCTCAATAATATTTAAAAAAAATTAATATTTTTTTAATGTGAAGATCATTTGAACCCAAATGAGGATAGGAGGAGGGTGGAACCTAACACCAATGAAGATAAGACAACATACATTTAATTAACATTTTTATATAATGTACCTTATACCAGTGTATCTAATATGTATTGTGTTTATGAGCCAAAGAGACCTCCCAACTTAAGCTTGGGGTATACTATAAATTAACAAACTCCCGAGTTGTGGAAATTTCATTCTCCCCTGCCGCAAATCTAGTCACGTAGTATTGAAAATAAAATTTACACATGTCATATTGCCATGGGTTGTCATCAACTGAGGTGTTCTCACGGCTAGCTGCTCAGCTACTTGTTTACGTTATTCTAAATATCTTTCAAAGAAGTTCTTTTATTATTGTGGTGGGTATTGAATTCGATACTATTATTTTATTAAAATAAGTTTTTGATATTAATACATAGGGTTAAAGTTAAATTGATCCATCACAATTATGGGTGAGCATTTGATCGAGTAAGTCAAAAAAATTTGAGTTATTCGAGTTGGCGAATCCTATTTTACGACTAAGACTTTATTTGAATTTTTTTTCGAGTCGAGTCGAGTTTGTAAAATTTGAGTCGAGTCGATTTTTTGAGTTTATGTTTAAATTTAATTGTAAATATTTATAATATTATAATATTATTTGATTTCAATTTAAGTGACATTCTATAATCATATATACAATACAAATATATTTCTTCATATTTTTTTTCATATGATATACATATATCATAAAAAGTTCAAGAATTAGACTCAAACTTGAAAATAAATATACTAATTACTAAAAATTTCGAGTTATTTGAGTTTCATTTTACAACTCGATTAGAACTTTAAACTTTTTCGAGTCGAGTTTATGAAATTGCAACTCGAAATATCGAGTCAAAAAATTGATTTTCGAATCGAGCCGAGTTTTGCTCTTAAGTACAACTAAAACACATTAATCAGTTATTTTAATGTAAGATTACAACGGCTCGTTATCCAGGTTTCATAAATATCATCTTGTTCTTCCTATCAGATCGTGTGTTGAAAGCTACACTGACAAAACCCAGAATATTATTAATATATGTAGATATTTTGCAACACCTAACTACTGATTTGACTTTCGTTTCCAATCGAATCATTCCAAATGATTCATCAAGCGGGTCCATATGAATGGTCTCTTCAAGCTAACGGTTTTGTTGTTTTATATATATATATATTTTTTGTCCAGGGAAAAGATATCAGATTAAGTTTTTTTTATGAATAAAAGATGGATTAAGTTAAATTAACAAGTTGCTGCAACTTGTACGCTTACAAATAACAACTTGCAAAGGTTGGTGAGTATACTAAACCCTAAGTTAACATAATCATGTTTTGGCTTCTGTCGTATTCCTCTGTTATGTTTTGCAGTACAGATGTCATATAATAGTATAACAGCAACTTTGCTTTGAAAATAACAGTTCGTCCATGATGTTTTATCTAGGAAGATCCAAAAATCCATGTTGTTTTCATCATCTCTTATGCATGATGACAGGGATGAAGCAGAAGCTTCAAGACGCAAACCTGGCTCAAAATTAATAAAATCAAACATTGCTACTAAAAAAATCATTTTTGTGTAAAAAAGTATTCGAATGTTATGGTTTAATTTCATGTATGTATATACTAAATATATATAATTTAATATTTTTTAGTGAAGTAAATAATAAGACATCATCATAAATTAATTTAAATATAATTAACTTTAAAGTTTTACGATAATTTTCATCATTTAATTTATTAAATAAATATAAAATAATTGATTTTTAATCTATTAATTAATGTAGTTTTCATATTCATAACTCGGTGTCGAAACCTTTAACA